TTGTTGGATAACAAAAACAATGAGGTTTGGAGTATTACAAAACAGTCGATTACAAAAAAAAAACAGTCGACTACTTACCCTTGAAGGAGGAACGTCGAAGTTTGGAGGATTTCAATGGATGATTTTAATTTTTGATTTCAATGGATTTTGTACCCAAAAGCTTCAAGGGATTTTGCCGAAAGAATGCCAGAATCTTTGTACCCAATTTGAAATCACACAGGATTTCAATTGAAGTTTCAAAATTGAAATCACACAATCACCTAGAATTTCAATTTTTGATTTCAAGGGATTTTGCCTAAAGCTATCCACCCATTGAAATCAAGAGATTTTGATTTCAACTAGAGGAATCAGAGATCACGAAGCTAGGAGATTGTGTACCCCAAGAGGGACACCGAAAGCTTATCCGAAGGAGGTTCTTTAGGTTCTGGCAAGAGTGGGAAGAGGGATGCCGAAAATTGTGTACGCTGAAGAGGGACGCAGAAAGCTTGAGGCGCACGAGGCTTGAGGGGCTTGAGACTTGATTGAATCAAATTTTATTTATTTTTAAGAAGGAAGAGTTAAGGCAAGTGTGAGAAGAAGGAGTTAAGGGCAAAAGTGGGAAGGAGTCATTTGAGTTGCCTTCCTTCCATAATGGATCCTAACATGGTATTAATCTTCAACTACTCCATATTTTTAAAAACAGTACTTTATAGCTTCAATCTTTATTTTTCCACTTTTCTAATTTGATGATGGGTATTTTCGTCACAATTTCATAGGGGTAGTGTCAAGATAAATTTCCCTATTTTGATTGGAGGGTAAATTTGTCCTCATAAAATCTTGTAGTTCAACTCTAAGTGCATTTTTCAAATCAAACTATTTAATATAGTCATTTCTCTAGTTGCCCCCTATTTTAATGCCCCACTCGGGTTACAAGCTTACGCAACCAAGCCCAACCATTTGTACACGAGAAAAGTGGCTAAATGAAAAGGGTGGAAACACAGTTTTTCTACGAGGTGGGAGAAAACTTGAAATTGGGATGGATACACCCACGTTTTGATTTTTATTTTCTTTAAGAAAAAAAAAACGAAATGATTTTCGTATTTGGATTTGTAACTCAAACTGCTTTTTTATTACCAAACTTTTACTCCATGACATAATATATTTATTATCTGTTTTAATGTGTATGCATTTCTTATTTCTTATTTCTTAAATCTTATTAAATAAATAATTTTATCGGTTATTTATACTTTAATGTTTTTCCTCTTTACATAGAATCGTCTTTTATTTGTCACATTAATTTTGATATAAAACACATGTCTACCACGTTAACTTTAACTTTCTCATGATGAATTATTCAATGTAATTATTGTCCTATTTAGTTAATAACTTTTTTAATCCAAATATATAACTTTGACGAAGGAATTGAACAAATCAATATGGAGTAAATCTTATTTAGGAACTGTTCAATAGCAATGAGTTTTATATAGGTCCGTTTTCCCTAGCTCGTTTCGCTAGGGCATGCATCATAAATGTGAGTCATAGAGACCACTCCAATTTCTTCTGCTATCTTTGTTGGATCTAGAATATTTCCGTCAAGTCTTCTGATTAATGTTGGTTATTCAAGAGTTTGATTTCAAGTAAAGAGATTTCTCTCTTATTCCCTCTGTCTATATCTCTCCCTATCTTTCCTGAATATTTTTCCCTCACTCTATTTCCCTCTCTTTCTTTCCGGTATTTTTTTTCTTCTCTCATTTTCCATTAATTTTTTTCTTCTATCATTTTCCATTAACTCATTCTTTCTCTCTCCCGCCATGGGTATTCTTCTCTCCTTCTCTCTAAAATTTTTTTGTGTTTCTCATTCCCTTATTTTTACTCTAAAAAACCCTAAATCTCTCAGCCCTCTCTATTTTTTTTCTTTTCTTTTTAATGAGCAGCCTCCCTGGTGACCTTCAGCAATCGCCAGCGACGAGTGCATCAAAATCGACGAGGGAGGTCGTTTGCCTAAGAAGCTCACGAAAGGAGAAAGTTCAGTGGCCTAACCATTGGGATGGGGATGGGGAAGGAGATAAAGAGAGAGAAAGTCGAGTGAGAAAGTTAGCGAGGGAGAGAAAGTTGAGATAAAATGTTATCTAAATAATAATAATAAATAAATAATAAAATTTAGTTAATTTAAATGAATCATAACCAGATTAAATCGATYAGAAGTAAATAAATAAATTTTGAAACAGTTTGAAAACAGAACCTCAATCTCTCGTCAATCTCCTTAATTTTAGTCATTTGTATTCAAATTTAAAATTTAATCTAAATTTGTTGCCTTAAATTTCTCCTTAAATCTCATTTAATCTCTCGTAGTTTTAATTATAATTGAATTTCAAATTTAAAATTTAATTCACTTTGTATCTTCTCCTATCATTACGTGAGGAGAAAAAAAAATGACCAGAACGAGAGAGAGCGAGAGTGAGATCTAGAAATTGCTTCTAAAAGCGATGGAAGATATGAAATAGATGTTTTTCATAAAACCCAAGTAAAAAAAAATATATTTGAAAGGGGTATTTTTTTCCGTAAAACTCAAACTAAAAAAGAGATAACCCAAACAAATGAGAGGCAGGAGAAAAAGGGAGATGGGAGATGGGAGAGAGGACGGAGAGAAAATGTATCGTATAAGTGGAGGGGCAGTGAAAGTAAATCGACAATTGGATGGTTTTCTAATATGAGTTTTGAAAATGGTGATTAAAAAACATAAAAAGCATGGGAGAACGTCTATTCCGTGCAATTTCTCCTGTTACATAAATTCTATCTATCAACTTTAATTATACCATCTAAATTAACCAAACCATCATTCAAAAAATGCACGATTCCACCGTCTATAGTAAAAAAAAATAGTTTTTTCAAACCAAAAAGATAGATTTGTCGTCTTTTTCTTTATCAATTTTTAATTTCGACTTTTCTTTATTTTCATTCACATGATGAGAGTTTCATAAACCGATCCTTTTATTTTATTTTATTTATTATTATTTTTTCAGGAAATGCTTTTATGTTTTGATAGTGTGTTCTTTTAAAGTGAAATTTGATTTTCCTTTACATTCATTCAAATCTCTTCTATTTCGTCGATTTTGTCCACATCCTCATTTTCTTCTCTTCTTTCGTAGATCTCTTGTCCCTTCACTTTAAGTAAACTATAATATTATATAATGAAAGCAATTCTATATATTTTTTTAAAATAGAAAATAACTTGTCATTCATGGGCAATTAGGAGCATTCTGAAATTATCCGAGTTGAAATATAACTTTAAAATTAAGTAGTGTCAATCCCATACATAAAAAAAGGAATAAGCTCACAGAAATAGATTTCAATACATTTTCGCTAATCCACGAATGGATTCTAACCTACATCAAAATAATTCTAAAACTTTCTAAATAATAGTTTTCAAGTAGTTCTTGAATCGTTGAACCAACAATTTTTTTTTTCCATTTTTATCAATATGATACATATTACGATCTCTAAACTTCAAAAGTAAAAATTAGATCATTGTCAATATTATGCTTATCAATAGTTCAAAAGATAGATAATTTAACTTCAAATGCATGGGTAACAATAGATAGGTAGTTGCTAAAAGGAGTTTTTTTTTTTTCATTATATTAACTACGATTGATTCTACGGCAAACAAAAAAGGGAAAACAAAGAAGAGACTCGAGACTTCAAACAACATAATTTTTGCAATACGTAAGATAAAACGAGCAAATAAAGATCTAGATATGATTTGAATCCCAACACTAGTTCCACCCAATACCTACCTTAACCCGTTAAGCAGCGTCATTCGATACGTCATCCATCTATTAAACAATGGGTGGCAAACTAGTGATATGGACCAAAATAGTATCTTTTTTTTTTAAAGATAATTTCATAAGTGACATGGAAACACAATCATGTTAAGCCAATTGATAAATGAACTTAAAAGAAGTGTTAACTGAACCAAAGGAAAATAAGAGCTATAGCCATTTGAGAGTTCCACAGAAAGCTCTTCACTAGCTTCAGAATATTGGCAATTAGACAACAAAAAGAGATACAGAAAACAAATCATGGCACACTATAAAGGTGGGATAGAACTAAACCTTTTCAAATGTGCCTGTCGATCAGAAACCTATTCCAAATCTGATCCAAATGTACCTGACGTGTTCCTCGCTCTCTATCATCCCATCAATTTTCTGCCTTTTTTATAGCTTCCAAATTTCTGAAACCCTTATCAGTCCCAAATATCCTGCCAAAGCAAAGAAGCCGAAACATCCTCGTCAGTGCTCGTCTTCTATTTTCATGCAGAGCGCATTATCAATCGATACCCCATGGACAAATGATAACCAATTACAAGAAGCAAAAGCACATGCAGAAACATGAAATGCATATAGGTAGGGTATGACTTTCTCATCTGAAGGCTCTCCAAGTTCCCCATTCACAAAATGATCAAATTTGGTAACTTGTCATGGTAGGGACTGTTGATACAGATGCAAGGAAGATGAAACTTCTAAATAGTAACAACATGTTGCTCGTTGAAAGATCGAATTGAAAGCAAGCATAGAGTCACCACATTCAAATTTTCTTAATAATTAAAAAAAAAAGATCTATCTTTCCTTTTTTACTCAATGGAGGTAATCCAATTGTAGAAAACATTAGGCTAAAAGTATGCCCTCCAAATATCCTAATAACATCTCTAATATTTCCCAACTAATATTCCCAACACTCCTAATAATATCCTCAATGTTTCCCTACTAATATTCCTAACATGATCTCAACCTAAAGTGAGAGCATCAAGTCACTGATTAACATATCTCCACCATAGTAAAAATGCAGCGATCAGTTTAGGGGGGGTCTCAAAAACTACGACGTAGATCAATGATCTAAGAAAGTAGGCGTGAAATTATTGAAGCGGAAGTAAATCAATGTTCCACAAAGCTGGTTTTAATGCTACTAATTTCGAAGCAATAATGTATACAAAATAAATGGTTGGACAATTTTGAACCAGAACCTACCAGTCCATGTAAGTGAATGTTGATGAGTAGTTGCCAGATTTTGTATAAAGCAACCGATGATGATAATCATGAAAATAAGCACTGCAGAGCAAGAGCAAAAGCCAATATCAGGAACAACAGCTACAGTACAATACGCTCTTTAAAACATTACAAATCCTAATTGACTCACCCCCCATATAAAGGTAAGAAGTTTGAAGGGCTCCAAGGAAAATGGTAACCACAATGAGCCTCCACTGTCTCCATCAGTCTAAGTGTCATCCATAACCACAGAGTCATTAGATGGGGACCAGTAATGGCAGGACCGATGACAGTAGCAAAACCAAGGAACAGAATCTCAGCAGGGTGAGCGTATTCCGCTGTTAGTCCAAAAGGTGTAGCATATCTGCACTTATAAGCAACTTAAATAGCCTAAGACAATTTTATCATGGGAAAAGGCAGAATCTCAATTAATTTTCAATTATAGATTTCACTTACTCATGATGCACGCTATGCACATTCTTGTACAGCCATTTGGTGTGCAAAATTCTATGTCCCCAGTAGAAAACAAAATCCTCCACAATAAAGTAAAATAGTATCTGGCCGAAGACAACTTTCCTACATTAATGAAACCCGAACCAAATTAGATTCAACCCGAACCAAATTAGATTCTATCAATTCTACTTTTGAAAAAAAATACTCTACCGATCTAAGTTAAATCCATCTAAAAAGTTAGATTCGGTCAGAAGGCACTGGCTAATGTTATGGTCCAAGATAAGGAAATGGTGAAAGTAAGCTAAACCTAGCAAGATAGAAGTAGAACATCTAAAATATGCTTTAGGAGATAAAGAACCTGAAGATACCAGGATGGCAATGGAAGACTGCTTCTCATGCCCATTTGCTTGAAGACGGGATATGAAACAATCATAAGTGGCAGATTTACACCACAATGATACATAAGTAGGCGAATAATGCATTTTCCTTGAGCTGCAGGACTATTAGTCTTTGCCTGCACAAAGGTGAAAAAATTCATATCTCAACTGAAAACTAATTCATTAAGAATTAAGAGTTAGTCAGGCCTCTATTGAGTTAGTGAAGCTATAATTATTGTGCTGAAAGTTCAGCCTGGTTCTTAAGTATGGTAGAAAACTTAGCTGATAGGTAGTTAATACTGCATCTTGAAGCATCAGCATTATTGTAAACATGGTAATCAATGAGAAACAGTTCTTTTTTTCTCCCCCCTTCTTTTCTTCTTGATACAAAGGATAATTAATGGGAAACATAGTTTAAAGTTTAAACCTCTCATTATTTCCTGTTATTTCCTTTGTTTCAGATAAAATAAAAGGATTATTAAAATACTAGTTAAAGTACTGCTGTAGCTAATGAAGGCAAATCTAAATTTAAAAAAAAAAAAAAAAAAAACATCCATAAGAACTTGCAGTTATGAAATGAAGCCTTGGCTAAAAAAAAATATGGTGAAGAGACGAAGTAAACCTGGATCTTGTACTTGCTCAGCCATCCTGTTCTTTCCAGAAAAATAAATGGAAGCCCAAATAAGAAGAAGACGCTTTCATGGACTATGAAGGTTCCAATAGAAGCCAGTTGAAAATCACTGAAATTTGTGATTAGATACTGCATAGTGGGGAAAAAGTTCCATAAAACAAGTATCAGATTTAGAAAGGATCATAGTGTAATTCAAAACTCCAGCAATACCCATATTCTGACGAAACCCAAATTCGGTCCTCCAACTCCAATTAAAAAGTAAAAAATCCGAACCCCAGTGTACAACTTCAAGATCCTGTTTCGGATCAACTGTGAAAGATGCAATTAATCCCAAAATTACATCTAGACCCCAGTGTGACTCTCGCGTCAGCGACAAATTAACAAGTAGAAGATGAAATGTAGGGCGGAAAGAAGAAGAAGAAGAAGCAGAAACAGTACCAGCCAGGCAGATTCAAGAATCGCAGCCATGAGAGAGTGGGAAGCAAATGGAGCAGGAGAAAACGCGACAGATTGGAAGAAAAATAGGGAATCTGCGGGCTTCACATTCGATTTAATCGCTCTCTCTCTACAGATTTGTGTCTCTTTTTTATTATTCTTCTTCTTCCGGTTTCATGTGGAGGGTGGGCTCCACTRTCTCTATGTCTCCGTCGAGTGCCGATCTTTCTCAATCGCTCGCCGTTTAGCTTTCACCACGTCGCAGCCTTCCTCGCCACCCGTCAGTTTCAAACACGTCTAGAGGCTTTGCTTTCAAATTTATTTGGGAAATTTTTTGGAAGAGTAGTTTTTGTTTGGGAAATTCCAATTTTTGAATGAATGTACTTTTTATTCAAATTCCAATTTTTGAATGTTGATGTTGATTTTTGGGCCGCCTCGTCGGATTAAGTTGGAATGAAGTGGCATTGTGAGGGCGCATTTATGGATCTCTTTCATGATATAGGCAGCTTCGTCAGGGAAGACCGAGTAACTGCGACGATACAGCTTGCCTTCATGGAAGATATAGTGTGCAACTCGTCTTTGGAGTTGTCACGCTTCCAAGTGGTGCTCGAGACTTCATTGCCTCGCACAGACTATGGGATCCAACCAGGTGACCGTTGAGAAATTAACTATAATTTCCTCTTCGACAGAAATATTCAAACACAACAAAAAAATATGCAAATAGGAAGAAAATTGTACAGACACAAAAATAACAACACAACAAATTATACCAATTCACCACTAAAGAGCTAGTCCAATCTTCCACTAAGATGTGAGTAATTGACTAATAATTGTTTAAGGATTAGATACAAAACTCTCTCCAAAATATCTCCTAGAGGTCCTAACAAAAGTCCTCTAGCTTTTAAGCAATTTAATACAATTACTTAGGAACAAGAATGAAAAACTCACAATAATCAAGATACAATTACCCCATAATGTCGATCTTGATCAACCCCAAATCAGCTGCAAATAACCCTTTTTTGGCTTAGAAAACCTTAAACCTGAAGCTGCATTATTTATAAACTTGAAACAGCGTCATGGCGCTACGGACGAAGAAAAACTGCACCCGTGCCCCCTTCGACAGCGATGCGATGCCCTCTATAGCGCCACGGCGCTGCAGCTTTGGTTCTTCCGACATGCAGCGACCACTTCCTCTGTTTTTCATCCACGCTTCGACCCCGACGCGTCCCAACTTGATCCGACATTTTTTTTGCTCCACCAATCCCAACAATCTCCCACTTGGAGACAAAGCAACAATTCTCTACCTCCCACTACATCAACAGTGTCCCATCATCTTGACRCCCTCTATCTAGGAATTGTTCTGACTACTTTATCAACGAACTGAACCACACAACTCAGCCCTACCCAAGATCTGTCTGTGATTGCCCTGAGACTGAGCAATCCTACGTGGTCTTATCTTATCTCCCAGACGTTAGAGACACAGCCACGTGCTCCCACTCGATCTAAGTGGTCCCGTCGCTTCCTTTCTCGATTGAACCCAACGACCTCTAAAGAAATATTCCCCTGATGACTTGGCACTCCCACCCAAGTTCGTTGCCTTTCTAGAGACATTACCCTTGACTTAAGTATCAACTCTAGTCTTCTCCCTCCATGCACTCTCTCGCCTATGCAACTTCATCAGCTTGCTATTTCGTCTAACAACTAGGGCTTGAAACCGACAACTTGTCGAACACCTCACTAAGTTGTTCCTCTTACCCTTTCCTCTACTTCCCAACTGTTGTACTTGAACTGATGGCAAATTCTTATGATCTGTCCTAGTTGTCAATACTGCTGATTCTTTTAAGTCTCGTCCTGAATCATCTGCAGCTACTTTGTGCATCTTCTGTCTCTCAGATCCTCTGGCAACCTCAAACTCAGACACATAAACAGAAAATCTCTTGTGGCCTATTGCCACCACCCTGGATTCCATCTTGAGCTTCCAGCAACTCCCAACGAACTCATTACTGTACCCATCATCATCTAGCTTCCCTGTGGCTAACAAATTAAAACTAAAGCTAAGAATGTATTTGACGCCTCGTAGCACCAACTTGGCCCATGTATTCAAACAAACATCTTCAATTCCTCACACCTTGGAGATACTTTCATTCCCCATTCTCACTGAGCCATAATCACCTGCAGTAAGAGATGATAACCAACGTTTATCTGAAGCAACATGCGCTGATGCTACAGTGTCCATGTTACAATGTCTACAAATTTGTTCCTCTGAACACAAGCCAGAAACTCTTCAATCCGTTCTTCTCATGTTACAACGTTTGTAGAATTGTTCCCCTTCTCAAAATCTTCTTTGAACTTTCTACAAAAGCGTTTAACGTGTCCCTTCTTGTGGTAATAATACTCTACTTCCCCTCTGGAACTCTCACTATCCCTATTATATCTCTACTGCTGCTTCTCGTTGTAATTCATCTTTGTCTTCCCTTGTTCTGAGGTACCAAAGCTGATTCATCTCTATTCTCTATCCCTGAAGTAGATGCAGACATTTTCCTAATTTTCTCCAGACTTCCTCAAATAAGGCGGCATCATAAATAACTGAAAATTTCAAGCTATTTTCCCCTAGCAAATTTGACACCGCGGTCTTCATCGTCTCCCAATTGTCAGACAAAGATATCAACAGCCTCATAACCTTCACCTCTTCCTCAATCTTGACACTCATCCCTTCTAATTTGTTCAAGATATCGGTGAGCTCATTAATATAGGAATTCATCGTCGTTCCTTACTCCATGTGGATATTAAAATATTTCGTCCGTAGAAATATTTTTGGTTTGGAAGAAGGTTTTTCATACCTGTCTTACAAAGTCTTCAATAGTACCTTTGTTATAGTCTCTTTCACCACCAAACTGCAAACATTCATCGACAAAGACATTCTGATGTTTGCAACGGCCTGCTCATCCATCTCACTCCAATCCTTATCTGTCATCTCCGCTAGTCTATCCCCCAAAGTCTTGTGTATCTTCTTGCATGTAAGAAGATCATTTACCTGCATCTTCCAAAACCTGACATTCTCTCCTGTGAACTTCAGAACCCCTCCATAGTAATAGTGAGTATGATATTTGTCCCCCATGATGCCACAAGCTTACAGCTCTAATACCACTTCTTGGGAAATTAACGGTCCTGTATAATTTCTCCTTCCACAGAAATATCCAAACACAACAAAAAATATGCAAATAGGAAGAAAACTGTAAAGGCACAAGAATAACAACACAGCAAATTATACTGGTTCACCACTAAAGGGCTACGTCTAGTCTTCCACTAAAATGTGGATAATTCACTAATAATTGTTTAAGGATTGGATATAAACTCTCCCCAAAATATCCCCTAAAGGTCCTAACAAAAGTCTTCTAGCTTCTAAGCAATCTAATACAAATTACTTAGGAACAAGAATGAAAAACTCACAATAATCAAGATACAATTACCCCGATAATGTCGATCATGATCAACCCTAAAGCCTCTGCCAATGCCCGAGCCACTGTCACTAATTTGCTGCCAAAACCCACTCAAAATCGGCTGCAAATAACCCTTCTTTGGTTAGAAAACTCTAAACTCGAAGCTATAGTATTTATAAACTCGAAACAGCGCCACAGTGCTACGTACAGAGAAAAACCGCGCCCGCGCCCCCTTTGACAGCGCCACGACGCCCTCTATAGTGCCACGACACTGCAGCTTCAGTTCTCCTGGCTTGCAGCGATCGCTTCCCYTGTTTTTCATCCTCGTTTCGACCCCGACGCGTCCAAGCTTGATTCGACGTCGTTTTGGCTCCACCAATCCCACCAGTGACTACTCGTGGCAAGTTGGTTTCGTATACTCCAATGAGCCGTGCCAAGGCATTTGCATTAGAATTCGGAGACTTTGGGATCGACATGATTTCCCATTTCCATAAGAAGCTAAGTACTCCTCATTTTGGCCAGGTAAGTTTTCGTTCTTTCCTCCCAAGACCCAGTTGACGATCAACTTGGAGTCGCTGAGTATCAAMAAATGTCAGACCTCGACTTTGCCTGACACCTTTAGGCTTGCTATTAGTGCCTCGTATTCGGTTTTGTTGTTAGAGGCTAAAAAGGAGAAGCATAGCATGTATTCAAAGCGTTCGCCAACATGAGTAAAAGACCTGCATCGCAACCTTTCTTGTTGGGTGACTCGTTTAGGAATAAGATCCAATGGAGGCTTCCTCGATGCAAGCTTGCGGGTCCTCGCTATTCATAGTCCCGTCGGGCGTCATTTTAGCTATGAATTCCGCTACTACTTGTTCTTTCGTGGCAATCCTCGATCGATACTCTAAGTCGTAGTCATTGAGCTTTATCATGCATTTCATCAGCCTTTCAGATGTCTAAGGTTGCTACAATATCTTCTTTAATGGGAAACTTGATAGAGTGATTGCCTTATGAGGTTGGAAGTAAAGCAGCAGTCTTTGCACCAACGTGACCAAGGCAGGTGCGAGCTTTTTCACTTGCGAATACCGTGTCTCCCGTCCAAGGTCATGTGGGCATTACAAACACTGAGTGTTTGAGGTTGCAACCATAAGACTAAGTGTGACTTTTTGTCAAGAATGAAAAATGAATAAGTAGTGAAGGGAACGCAACAATTATTATCAACACAATTTCTGTAGAGAGAGTAAATTAAATGATATTTGAGGAACACATAGCATATTTTTGAGAGAAAAGGATTTGGAAGGAGCGGTTAATGTGTCTAAACTAGTGCAAGTTATGGCTAGGGATTGATTTTTTTTTTTAAAGGGCTAGGGATTGCTTATTACTGATAGTAATTCGTTCTTCACCATTATAATTGTTGGAGATGGTGAGGTTGGCCATGTCCAAGGTCACGTGCGTTACAACCACTAGGTGTACGAGGTTATTGTTGAATCGATATGGCAACTTAGAGAGGTGAATAGGATTTAATAAAACTTTATAAAAATTTTAATACGATGAGCCCAATTTAAACAAATAAATAAACTTTTTACGAATATATAATTTTAACACAAATTAATAAATAAATTAAAAAAATATTTCAAGCATCCTAATTAGCTCCAAATGTACAGATTGATTATAAACATGAAGAACCAAAGTGAGCATAACTATACGATAATTGACATATATACCTCTTGAGTTCGATCCCCACCCCCAA